ATTTGACTTTTCAAGTTCAATCCTTTCCAAACTGGTTCTCTATATTTTTATACCAGTTCTTAAAGTTTGTTAGGCATATGCTTTTGTTTTTTTTTCAGGTTAGTTTGGTCAAATTTCTGTTCTACATTCACTTTTTGGCAGTTCCATAATTTAAACGTAGTGGTGCTTGGATTTACGAGGAACTTTGGATAAATTTAAAAAATGAATGACTTATGAACTTTGTGAAGATGTTACATGAGCTCGAAGTTCTCTCCAAAGATACTGCTTAGATGATAGATATTCTAAAACAAAATTTAATATTATTTTCAAGTGCTTAAAACTGCAAAAGAAAAGAAGTCACAGGAACAACACGACAATCTTTATCCTCATAAAATTGTTCAGAAGATATTAAAAATAACTCTGCATGATCTAAGTGATAAGAATTATTTGTTTGAAATGAAAGTGAAAAGACGCTTACGTAGAGAAAAACTTGAATTTCTGCCTAACCAATTGGGCAGAGAGAATTGGGTGCTTTTGGGTTTATAAAATGCACTTGAACCCCTCATGACATCTACAAAAGCTGTTGATGATTTTGCCACCATTAATGTTGCCGCGAGTGGAAATTGAGAGTGACGCCCTACGAATGGGAAAGGAGTGGGTTCGCCATTGGTAGATGCGCCTCCTAATCACCAAAATTACTCCTTTGGATTCAAGGTAGATGCTTTAGTCCCCTTACCTATGCATTTTCTAATGGCTTTCATGAAGCACCACTATACGTCAACCTCAAAACTTTTTGGGATGTAGATTCTCTTCCTAGTCTTCCTGAACCCCTTATTGAGGGCCAAGAATTTGCCCTCCCCCTGCCATAATGCTACTCGACTGGATGGCAAGCCGCATTGCGTGCATTGCTCACTTCATATTCCTAACCCAAGAGGACACACCTCTCTTTGGGTAAAACTCACCAAAAGTATCTACAAGCCATCCCATTTTAGGACCTCTACAGAGAATGGAAGATTGAAAGCCTTTGACATTTCCAGACAACATCAACAATTTAGTGGCACCACCCTATTGAAAGATGTTAAAAGATTTGTGCAATGACCAAGAATCTCTGAGGCAGGGAAACTGCTTGAGGTTAAAGGAGGAACATAACAAAAAAAAGTCTGGTTTGAGAGTGGGAGAGAGGGGCTGGTAGTGCTATTGAATCAGTTGAACCAGAAAATTAGTTGGAAGGTAATGCTTGTCATTTGAATGGTACTTGCAGGCCCTTATGGAGTATCCAAGTTATCCATAATCCGAATGAAGGGAGATTGATGACTTTGCAGCTTTGTTGTTGTTGTCAGGCATTTTCGCTATTTGGTCCTTTTGTATGTGACTTCACAGTGTAGTCCCTCCCGTTTACTGTGAAATCTTTTTATCACATACTCTCAATCAATTTGATGCTGCTTTTACATTTCGTTGGAAATAGTTCTGGAAGGAAAATGCTTTCCCATACTATTTTTTTCCTTTATTAGAAAGTAGCTTAGGAAAAAAAAAAAAAATTTGAAATAAAGCTTAGGAAAAAATTCTCACTTTTGATTATCTTAAGAAAAGGTAGAATCATAGTCAATGGTGTTCTAATGCTGAAAAGAAAGTTGTGAGATTGAGCCCTCAATCTTCTTAACTTGCCTTGGATGGTTAGTTGCTTTTGTAACTGATACGATTTGTGCTTATGATGAAATTAGAGATTGTACTGAAAGGAGGAACTTCATCTCTCCATTGGCTATATTTGCATGATGTGGAAAGAAAGGAACAACTGAGATGTCAAGGGCATTGTTTTTCTGTTACGCTCAAGAAAACAAGCTTGACTGGTTTATTGCTTTGGTAACCATCGTAGGACCTACAAAAATAGCAAAGAGAAGCACCTCTGGCTTCTTTCTATGACTCTAACCTAGCGATATGTAACTCTGGAATTCTTGTTGGATTAAACTTTCGGAGATCTTCAGTTTATTATTCCAGATAGGTTGTATTTGGCTCTGGTTAGGAAATTATCTATTTAGATCCTAGAAAACTGAAAAGCTAATTGCTCTATTATCTATATGCCTGCACTCCAAAGAATCAGTAAAGCACTTAATAATTACTATTAAAGTTGGATTTTTTCTTTAGAGATTGAGGGTTTTCTCCAACCAGTTTCAAACATAGAGTGTCAAGGCCAAATATCAAACAAAGAAGCCTCTCACCTCAGATGTTGTCGTTAATAGGCCAATGAACTATTCAAGACTTAGGATGAAAACACTTTTCTTTTGGTAGCGTAGGAGATTATTGGTTGTGCACCTCGAGTATTTTTGCTTAGTGGTCATTATCGCTTTTGTAGAAGTCATTAGGAGATCTTATAAATATTGTTATTCGAAAGATGTGTAGTTCTCTTATAATGTGGCAGCTTCTTTTTGGTGTCATGTTTATAATACTATTATTATTTTTTCTAGAATAATTCTTGTTAATAACTATATTCTTTCATACATGAGTTGATTTATATAGTATTTACTCATCAGACTGGCAAGAAAAAAATCAAAGAATCTCAAATGGGAGTAGAATTAGAAAAGAACTTGTGAATAATAAGTGCAAGCATAGAGAGAGATAAGAAATGGCCATTTAAATAAATACCTAAAAGTAGGTACTATGGTTAGACTGAGAGTTCAATTGCATAATCAACATTAAGAAAGTTTTCTTCTAACAAAGACTTCGTTCTCAATATTTAGTAAATGAAAATGTTGTGTTTACAGTCATGTTTTTCTCTTTTTTTCCTTGTTTTCTTTTCTTCCTTTCAACTATTTTCATGTTTTTTGATCATCTATGGCATGCTCTTATTTCCTGCTACAACTTGTAGTAATGTTTTCTTCAAGGGATTCTTTTTTACCAGTTTTAGGCTCATGTTTCTTCTGTTTGTTATTAATGTGAAAGGTTTTATCTGAGGAGTTGCCAACTGCCATTGCCAAAATATCATTCCCAAAATCAATGCGCTGGAATTCTCAGGTACATATGTTGACTATCTACCATAATTCTAGGAATATATTGCTATAACTCCGGAATTGTTTATTTTCCATTGATATCATAGTATCTTTACTGTTAAGATGTCAAATCCCTTGATTATTTCCCGTATGACTTTATAACCACATATAGTTACTTCTACGTATAGGTAACTAGTATAGATGTGTATAGCACCATATGAAATATGGACACCAAATTTTCTTCCTTTTGTATATTACACGTTAGTCTTCAGCATGGTATTGGAGGGAGCCCATGTCTGCTGGACATTCTCCATACCAACCTTTGGTCATATATCCAGATGCAACCTTGAAGGTCTACCTAGGGCCTTGCATTAATTGGTCAGATCAGGGTTCACACAATTCTCTTGCTGCCCAAGTTGTGAGTGCAGTTGAATCATCTCGGGTTGGTTGTTGATGCAGTATTGCATTGAGCACCTGATTCATGTTCAAAGACAGAAAAGACCACTGGTCATTCTTGTTAGACTAGCGCGCATCAGTTTGTCGATTGTAGAAAAAGACCATTGATGCTGCTGTCTCGCAAGTCAGGTCCCTATTTATTGCCACAAAGAATGAATTCTACTGGAGTCTGTTGCCCCATGCAAGTTGCAGATTGACCATGGCGGGGTTATTGATTCAATTTTGCAGCTCTGTGCTGGTACTTATGGATAGGAAGACTCGCTTCCATAGTTGCAGCTCTGTGCAGACAAAGGTGGTCAATATTGGTGGGATGTCAATTTGGTGTTGCAGGGTCGCACAACGTGCAGGATTTCATGATCAAGAAGATCTATTGTTGGTGCTTTGCAATTAATGTCAAATATTGAAGCTGATTTTTGGATGGAGAGGGCGATAATGAAATACAATTATATTAGTTTTCATTTTTTTTTATAGACAAGAGAGACATAAGATAAAGGAAAGGGAATTGTGAAACTAGTGTTGGAAGGTTTGGTCTTTAGAAGAAAATTGTTCTTTACTAACCAACTTAAGATTGGATGGAACCAATTGACTTGCAAGGATATGTTACAGGAATTAAGCTAAACCTATTAATATTGCTGCTATGCTCAACTTGTGGGAATCAAGAAACTCACCTTTTATGTTTTGACTTATCAATTTAATGCAGCCAAAAATTTCTCATGGGTACTTGCATCTTGATACTACCCACAATTTGGAGCCGCATCCCTGACATATTCATAAGTTGGCAGTGATGCACAAATAAATTAATTGCGAGACAAGGTGCATGCAGACACAGCTGTTGTGGAAAGTATAAATTTGCCAACAACAAATATTGGACTTGGTTCTTAAAGAGACACTTGGTCATTAAATAATTTCAATAATGCTAGAGTTCAAAAGTTTAGACCTGGCTGCCAATTTTTTCTAAAAAGAAAATTGTGTAGTCGGACTGTCTTTGCAGATGCTAGAAAACTGTTGGGCTTGTGTGTGAAAGGCCTATATCAGATAGAATAATAAAGTTGGATAATTTTCTATTAACTTAAACTTTTAGAACAATTGGCAATGATTTAATTGTTTCAACAGTAAGGTTAGAACTCTTCTATTGGAAGAAATTCCATTGCGGTTTTGTTTTAATTACAAATTCCTATTTTAGTGATATGCCAAGCCAAGACAAACAGCTGGCTGATTGATACAATCAACAACCTAATACCTTTTATCTGCTTTCCTTCCAGGGAGTCTCAAGTAACTAAAATTGATTGCTTGCATTGTGCCATAGCTGAAAGTCTGAAAAATAATGTAGATTAATAACTTTCTGTTTAAAGAACTGGTACCTTTTAGATGTCCCAACGGAAAAGGAAAAATCACTAGAATTTAATACTTGCTTGCTTGTGCCACTTTTTACTTTCATGTAGAAATATATTTTTGGTGATTAAATGGGAAAAGTTTCTCCACCTCTATCATATAGGTCATGTTCAGCCGACCTATTCGGTGGATTATGGCTCTACATGGAGATGTGGTTGTTCCATTTGCATTTGCTGGAATTATGAGGTAATTAATAGTTAGCTGCTGTTCACATTTCTTGTTAACTTGCTTTGGCTTCTTTTAGGTGAATTTTTTTATCATTGCAATAACTTTTTCCCATGATTATTTTGGAAAACTTATATGAGATATTCTGATTTTCAAATATATAACCTCAGCTTCTATTCATTTCATTTATCTACTTAGATGGATTGTTGCTATTTGTTTGTTGTTGACTGTAAAATAATTTCTTTGAATGGGTACGTTCATCTTTTAAAAAGAAAAAAAAAATCCCTTTGTTTAATATAAACCACATGAAACTAATTGCTATTTTATACTTTTTTTAGTTATATAATATTCTTTATTCGAATAGTCTTATTAAATTTATCTGCATGATTCGTAGTGCTGAATTGATATTCAAACTGATAATCGAAAATTTAATCATTTTGAATCGAGCATCATAAATTGAATCAAATTATAAGATTTAAAACATAGTTAAGTAATTGAAATTTATTGTCATGTATAAATATATTTTTTAAAAAAATATAAAATAAAATATTTATAAACTTTTAATACAATAGACAATTAAGGAAATACTTGTTTTAAACGTAAATTATGTAAATATTATAACTTACAAGTAAATAAAAAAAAAAATTATTCAAGTAATTGATTAGATTTGTTTAATGAGATTCGAGTGAATCATAAAAATTGAATCAAATTGTACTTTTTACTATTGATTTTTTAAGATTCATCTCATGGTTCATGATAGATTGCTATACACTCATATAATTTGAATCTTTTTTATTGAATTGAATTGAATTTAAAATTTAGCTTCTGAATTCTAAGTTTTTAACAATAGTGACTTGATTTATTTGGCGATACCACTTGTTTAGAAAAATTCACTTATCTATATGCTTAGCATCTACATGCTTTTTTGAAAAGAGTTTGAGTTTCTTACTAATTTTTTTGAAATTCTAGCGGAGATGTATCATATGGTCTTCGTAATACTCCATCCGCCACCATGAGGGTATGTATTGAAAATCAGTTCATTGTCTCAACCAACTTTCTCAACATTTTGCATGAATTATTGATAAGGTCCCAATCAGAATAGAAAAATCAAAGATAAGTTTTCTCTTAGAGTGAGAAAAAAACCACAAGTTTGATTACTTAATTCCACATACATTCTTCAAGTACAAAACATGCTCAAATAGAAATTAAAGGTAACTGCTTCTTGTTATTCGGGAAGCATGATTTAGAAACATGGCAGAAAAATAGGAAAAGGAAAGAACTGCTTGGAACCGTTATGCGTTCTGAACATTGTGCACAACTGCTTGTCTTTAAGTTACTGATACTTAGGATTTGGGGTTGGTTTCCTTTGGGATTTTCTTAGTGTATCAATTATAAAGCCCCTCGTTTTTCAATGTGGCAATGAACAAAGCCATAGAAGAAAATTTGAAGAGTTCCTTAATCATTCCCTCTTCATTTTCTGGGAGTCTTGTTGAACAAAGGGGTAGAAATTAGACTATCTAGATCCGAAAGACTTTTGAACTGACTAGGGTGCTTACTTGTATGTTACCCATATTTATAGGATGCTTACTTCTCAGGATGAATGAAACATTCTTCTGTTTGGACTTAGATAACATATAATAGAAATTTGTTCTATCAAGGAACAGAGAAAAGACTTCTTGATTTGATGCAGATTGTTTTGGATTTTGATACTATGGTTAAAGTAGACTTTTATATTTTGAATTATAGTTTTAACTTCCAGTTCAATTTCCTACTGTCTTCTTGCTTCCTATCTTTAATTACTTGCCATGTAAACCTGACGGTGAATCTTTAGCATCAATTCTATTTGTCTTTGCACCAATCTGCTAAAATCCAAACCAGGCAACTAACATGGAGAAAATGTGTTCTACGATGTTACTTCCGTTATAATCTGACCACCTGGTGATCACTTATGACAAGATCTTATTACATGCTAACCAGCTGTGAGATGAATTCATCTTTTGAAGAGGTTTATGGGTTGCAAAGTTTCCACTAGGTGTTTTGACATTCATGCATGCATTTACATGTGCTTATTTGCATATATTTTGACTTTTATATACCATGCATAAGATGCATTTATATGCTTCCAAGAAAATTACAGGTGCAATGTGCTGAAGCTTATGGGGATCTAATGAATAATGCTGGAATTAACTTTGGAATTGAGGTATCATACTGGAATCTCCACTATTTTTTCTGTCTGAGTTGATTTTAATATCAATTGTGTGATATTTCTTGTCTATGCAAGTGACTAAGGAAGCAAACTTGCAGGACCGAAAAACAACAATTCTGAAGCACTCAAATGAATTAGCCAAAAGTGTCAATGGGCATGTTGTTCTTCAGGACAGCTTGGTTAATGAGGTGAGAAATTGGTATTTTATTTGGTCTGCTACATTACATAAGTTCATTTTTTAAAGTTACCTGTTATGATTACTTCAGGTCATAAATCTTGTTGAGGCACCTGTTCCAGTACTTGGGAAATTTAAAGAATCCTTCTTAGAGCTTCCAGAAGATCTGTTAACTATGGTAATCTTTACATATTCGTATTTGCTTGTAAAGTATTTTGTTAAGCACATCTCTCACCTTAGCAAAACTTGTATCAGAAGTTCTGTAATGACATTACTCTATGTCGCATCATATTTTTCCATTAGAATATTGGGAATGTTTTTTATGAAAAGAAGTGCCAGGAATGTCTTATTTCCTCAAGTCATCCTATTGAATTTGTTTAAAGTTTGTATTAGCAAACTGCAAAACTTTGATGTTCTAAATCAGTTGAATGATGGTTTATAATCTTCATTTCTTTCATCCTGATGCAGTTTACCAAGTAGGAAGCTGCATACAGCTAAGAAGCATTAATATGTTTATTTAATCAATCATGTTCAAGTTATGCTTGTTTAGTTTCAAGGACCTTACTGGCAGTATTTGTTACTCAGGATCTATACTTTTGACATTGCACCAATTATTGTGTAATTTACCTTTTTTGAAGTGTAAAGGGAATTACTCCTTTTAGTTTTGGGGTTGCTAATGATTGTGTATGTGCTATTACTTTTGTACCTTTGAGATTACACCAACTATTATCAAGTATACTTCTTTGAAGTGTAAAATAAATGGCTGCTTTTGCTTCTGGAATCTATTAATTATAGTGTATGTGCTACTATTTTTGTGCTTTAAGTTGATTAGTTACATCAAGTCTTAACTGCTATGGACAATCATGCAGGTTATGCAGAAGCACCAGAAGTATTTTGCTCTTACTGATGATAATGGAAGACTTTTACCATATTTCATTGCTGTGAGGCTTGCTTGCAATCTATTTATGTTTTGTAAATTGTCTGTTCTGGAGGAACAAGTTGAAATTCTTCATGTATGATAATTGAAGGCAGGACTCATTTTCAGGTCGCAAATGGAGCAATCAATGAGGAGGTAGTGAGAAAGGGAAATGAAGCTGTACTCAGGTCAGGATGGGCTGTATTTTTTTCTTTAGCAGAAAATATGTTGTTCTTGTGCCAGGGTTTAAGTCCAGTTAAACACCAAAATCAAAAAGATGCATCATCTGAACATCATTCTTCTAGTTTTGTTTACTTTTATTACAAATTTATAGAGAGATGAGTTTGATACGTCTTCTATTTGAAAGATTTGTGCATTCTTGGAGAGCCAGTTAATCACACTTTCGTTCTTTCTCCATTATTGGCATGAGCTAAGACTTTGGTTATCAAGCACGAATTTGTTATCTTCCTATGTAGAGCTTAGCCAATGAACCATGTGTCTCATTTATTCTTGCAGGGCTCGCTATGAAGATGCCAAGTTTTTCTATGAGATGGATACGCGTAAGAGATTTAGGGAATTTCGTAGTCAACTGAAAGGAATTCTTTTCCATGTAAGGTTTTCAGACGCATAAAGATTACTGGATGAGTGACTCATGAACTAACTGATCGATGGAATGTCTACAGTCTCTTTTTTTATTTTTGGAAGTCAGTGTTTGTTTGACATTGTCTATTTTAGTTGCTGGTAAATGGATCCCTTACTCATTGTGTCAAAATGGAAAACAACTACTTATACATGATAAATTTTCATGTTGTTTGAAGGTGCTGACATCACATGAAATTGCTAACTTTTATGCTGTTCCATGCTGATGTATAGATCATTTGAAATAACAGGAAAAGCTTGGAACAATGCTGGACAAAATGATCCGTGTTGAAAACATGATCACCAAACTAAGTTTGGCTTTGGGAATCAAAGAAGAAATGCTTCAGCTCATCAAGGATGCTGCATCTCTTGCTATGTCCGATCTTGCCACTGCAGTTGTCACAGAATTCACTTCACTTGCTGGAATAATGGCCCGTCATTATGCTCTTAGAGATGGCTATTCAAAAGAGGTTGTTAGATATCAATGCGTGCATGCACATGTTCTGTGCAACACAAATATTTATTTTTATTATCTATTCCTTCTCTTAGTGCCTGTGCACATACCAGGGCGCTAATCCTTTGCTCCATCGGGCATGTAAACATATAAATTCTTTATCTTTCGATATTTATCATCTTATTCAGGAACTATCTGTTACGAATTTAATGAAGGTTATAGTTCTCTTGGGTCATTTCTGTGCATGCTTGCATGTTGCACATGCATCTGCATAGTCACAATTGCAGTAATTCTTTTCTCCATTAACTTGTGCAAAATATCTCCTACTTCAATTTTCTACCAGATGCAGAACCATGTTTTTAGTTCTAACGATTCTTTTCCCTGTCTGTGCTTATACCTAGCAGGTTGCAGAGGCCTTGTTAGAGATCACACTTCCCCGATTTTCTGGAGATTTGCTTCCGAAAACTGATGTGGGGATAGTTTTGGCAATAGCTGATAGGTAATTTGGACCACAAGTTTATTTTCCTGTGCATAGTATTGGTTGCTTAATTTTCAGTTCTGTTAATGCTATTTTATTATCAGCAGGTGATAATATTCTTGGCATAATATTTGCTTTTGGACTTAATATGTACCCTGATTAATGAGGAATTTGTGCTTATAAATTTATAGCTTGTGAATGGTAAAATTCATTTTTTGCCAAACTTGGTTGGAGAGGATGCTAATTGTGAGCAATAACTGTTCATAATCTGGGACGAAAAAATCTTCTCCTTTTCAGGCAAGGGCCCATTGGCAGATGCCCTCATCTACTTCTGAAAGGGATAAGAAAGCTATTTTTTCTTATTGATTTGTTTCGTTTCTTTTCTTTTTTGTTCTGTGGTTGAAGGACACCTTAGCATCTTAATCCTATTTGTAACAACTTTCTTTTCTAAGAATTTCTTTTTATGTATTAAGTACCTGTTTGGCTGCAGCTTCTACCTGCAATTTCTGCGTTTGGGAAATGTTTTTCAACCAAACACGTAAAATAAAACCACTTGTGGTCAAAATCAAAACCAAAAATATGTTTTTGATATGTTAAACACAAAATGTAAAAATACTAACTTTTGAAAATTGACTTGAGCTGTCAACATTTTTTGTTTCAAAATTACCTTTAATCAACTAAAAAAATAATACATTCTCATTTCTTTCACTTTATCCAATCGTTGCCATTGTCGTCCACCGGACATCGGCTGTCACACTGGCGTACCACGCCACCAGCTGCCCCCATCCTCAGCCTCATACTGGCTACCACACGCCACCATCTGCCACCAGCTGGCAGCTGGCATCTGCCCTTTACCACCACTAGGCTGTGGCCTCCACTAGCTAGCCTTCCTCACTACCAACCTGTCACTGCCCGCTGCCAGCTAGCTGTTCTCTACTACTAGGCAACCGCTGCTAGCTGCCCTCCGCCAGCCAATTCCTCTGTGACGCCCGCCTTTCACCCGTTATTGCCTGTTGCCTGCTGCCCGCTGCCCGCTGCCTACCACCCACTGTTTTTCACCCGTCATCTGCCAACCACCTTCCACCGTTTGTGACTGCCGTCTGCGACTCTCTGCCTGTCGCGAATGGCACCCTCTTATAGGGCGTGTTTGGAGCACACTTATACTTTACACTTAATCAAATAATAGAACTTAACTTTTCATTGATACACAAAGTGTGTAGAAATGTTACATTTATTGAAACATGTATATCAGATACATACATACGAACCTTGAAAATTTTTCTTTTTCTTATAATACAAAGAACATAATGGTAACCTAAATTCCTGAGACTAACTTCTCAATTTCTCTTGTGTATCACTAACTATTTTGAAGCGGAATCTTCACTATCTGAAAGATGATGAAGGAGTGAGATACACTATCTCAGTAAGTATATATCGTGATAACACAGTTAATACATGCAATATATATAGCTTTTACACTCATCAAACCATATATATGTTATATATTTTCTCGAAAACATATTCACTTTCACTGAGAACAGATGCACAGTACAAAACTGAAGTCGGAATCACGATTCAGAAAACACATTATTACATTGTACAATAAGCTACACTCTCATATGTACCAGATCACTCAACATGTACAGTGCGCCACATTGTACAACGAGTCACATGTCCTATAATTAGAAGACGGATGCCCTTCGCTATATTATACAATGAGCCACATTACATCACTGTTATAGAGGACTAATCACATCTTCCTACTGCCATGCATGCATAGGCGCACACTTAACACTTAACACTTAACACTTAACACATCCCCATACACTCGAAAGCGGAATTGTTATGTATGAGTACATATTTATTACTTTCCTACTACACCAAAAAATGACGTTATATAGGAGCACATTGAAGTCTAGCATCATCAGGTGCTTTCAGAACGGTTTGCCTCGATAACGAGTGATGCACACATATTAAAATTACTTTTCAAAATCCTTGGGTAAAATAAAACTTAAAATATAATAGTACTTTCACAAAATACTTGCACTTTATATATAAAAATACGTATAAAATACTAATGAAAACACATAAGCTATGCAATCATAATATCTCCTTAATATCCTAACTGAAAATACTTTGAAAACTACGTAGGCTATGCGATCACAATACCCACTTACCTCAGTTCTTGAACTGACCCTTCTTTGTATACTCTTAACTCAAATGTTAACTCGGGTAGAGTCTCCTCTATAAAACCTCTAAATTTCTCTGTGTATTTGGGCTAAGTCTCCTTTTATGAAAACTTTAATTTCCTATATTCAAACAGGTAGAGTCTTCCCTTAGTTTTTCTCAATTTTTTACTCAATTTTCGGTAGAGTTTTCCCTTTGGAATACCAATAATTTTTAACTTAAAAAATATCCTCCTCACATGGAATTAAATTTCTGAAAAAAAAGGTTTGAACGGGCTTATCTTGTATCACACACAACCTTGACGTCAATAGAGTCCCGGCTTAGTTTTTCTACTTTTTTCTCCTGGAATTTCAGTAGAGTTTCAAGATGTTTTGAGCACTACCTAACCTCAAAAATACTCTTCATATCTCTTAAAAATCATCCTCAAAATTTCAATAGAAACGGAATTAAAATGAAGGGGAAAACTCACCTTAAGCCCGTGGGCCTTCCTTCGGTCGGCCGTGAGCTTTCCCTCTCCTTTTTCTCTTCTTTTTTTGGTTTTCTCCTTTCCTTTTTCCTTCCTCTCTCTTCCTCTCAAGATTTGGACAAAGTTTCCTCAAGAAAAAATTCTCAAATTCCCTCAATTTCTCTCACCTTTCTTAGGCACGCGCCATTTTTCTCTCTTTTTCTTCTCTTTTCTCTCTCTCTCTTCTTTCTCTCTCTAACTTTGCTCTCCTTCACTCCAGAATTCATTTCCCATCTCCCCACTCCTATTTATAAGGGAGGAAAGCCAAAAGAGTCGGCCAAGGGAGGTTTAGGTGGCAAATTGTGAGGTTACCGCCTCAATTCCTTGAGTTTATCCTTTTCTTCCCTCTTTTCCCTTTCCTTCACCCTTAAGGAACTCCAGAGAGTTCTATACTTATCCAGATTTCATACATCGGTGTGTCCTCTTTCCAGGAGCTTCCATGCCAAATTTTGGCTCAATCCCAGCTGATTTGCACCACCTTATGCCCACCTAAACCCTTAAGACCCAAAACCGCACTCCATGCTCATGCCTTTACTTCGAACAGCCATAACTCCTTTGATTCTTATGAGTTTCCGGCCCATTTTATCTTCACTTGCTCGTCATGGTTTCAGCTGCTTGCTGACCAAAATTTAGGCTCAACAAGATCACATTTGGCTAATGGAAAGTTCACCTAAGGCCTAGAAGATCCAAACCACGCACAAAGTTAGGTCCATGCCCAGACCCTTACTTCAAAACCCCATAACTTGCTCAATTCTTAATATTTGTTTAGCAAACTTTTTGTTTCACGTGTTCCTCAAGCAGGCAGCTATCATATGGTTTTGGTTTGGACTTCCCGAATCCATTTTGCCCACTTATGGCCCAAACAAGCCCAAAAGATCAAAACTGTCCTCCATGTGTATGCCTCTTGGGTTTGGCTTTATTTCTCTCAAAATTTCTTTTGTGGACATTTTTCTTTTTTCACACACTTCTTATATGTCTTGGCTAGTGCTAAGCCAAATTTGAGTCTCAAATTCCATATATTTTGATCATACGACACAAATCAAGCCGAAAAGATCAACTAGAGCTTCTTGGGGGATTTTTCTCCCTCACTCGGGGGATTTTCTCCCCCTTTTTGGGGATTTCTCTCCTGATTCACAATCCAATTATTTTCTCATGTTCACAAAGCATTTTCTTGCTTTATACGATGTCATTCTACCCTCAAGAAGCATTCCCAGGCTTAGAAAAAATTGATTTCCCTTTTGAGAGAAGCTAGACAATGTTTTAATTTGTGCACCCCATGTGTCTACCAACTCTCAACTTGCAGATGTACTTTACAGAATTCAATCTTATAGGCAGTCATTGTCAGGTTGAGAACAGACAATGTCTGTTTACCAGCTTGAGGGAGAGTGTGGAACAGTGTATATGACAACTTGATTGTCATACTGTTTGAAATAAATTTCTATGGAAGGAGATATAAATGAAATCAGTTTGGTAAGTATATCAATTAGGTTTACAGACTAAATAGAATTATCTCTCCATATGTTTGTGCCATGGAAATGGAAGTCCTTAGAAGAATAATTCTTTTTTGTTCCTACCTTATGAGGTTCTGTGGCAATTATGGTGTTAGCTTTTTACAGTATTATTAAGGTGTTGGTTATCAATCCATCTGAAAGGGTGCTCACAGAGGAGGGAAACATGTTTGTTTGCCATCTTACCCTGGAAATTCTCACATCCATCCTTCTGACGAGTTGGTTGCAGATGGAGGTGCTTAAACTTTTATGGCCTGGTTCTCTTTTTTCTTGGTGTTGGCTTTTATGGTTGGAACACAATGCAAGGGAGGATATATGGTGGTGTTTTAGGCCTCTGTGTGTGCTAGACACATGACTTCCAGAATACCATTGTTTAGTTTCTATAGGAGCTGGGAGGCTCTTTTATGTTAAACACTCATTTTTTTCTTCCTGTTTTTGTCTGGGTTCTGTTTCTTTTCTTTGGAGGATGCCTAATCCTTCTACTTGTAGTTCATTATTCTTGAAAACACATGTGGTGCGCCTGCATGTTTTCTTCAAAATTTTCAATGCATTTTTCCCCTTAACTCTCATACAGTGCTCCTTTACGTGTAACTTACATGATGCCTAATGTTTCAGGTTAGATAGTCTTGTTGGCCTCTTTGCTGCTGGTTGTCAACCTAGTTCTACTAATGATCCATTTGGCCTGAGAAGAATCTCTTATGGTCTTGTAAGTAAATAAGTGAGATGTTTTACAAAGAAATGAAGTATATAGAATGATTATATTGCTTTGAGCTTTAACTAAATGTATTTTTAAGCATAAATTAAACAGGTCCAAATATTGGTGGAGCAGGATAAAAATATGGACTTGAAACATGCTCTGGAGTTTGCTGCTGATGTACAACCAATTGATGTTGATTCAGGCATATTAGAAGATGTGAGAATGAAGCAATTTTCTTTTCATTATAAGAGAGTAGTAGTTTCACGTGATTGTCCCTCCAGGTTTACTTTCAACCTTAATGTGTTTATTAGTCACAAGGTCCTGAAAAGGTCAACTCATTTCCCACCAGTGAAGTTTTCTCAATCAAGATCCACAAAAGTGCCTAAACAAATTTTGCTTAGGCCACATCTATATTATGAATTCCTCAGCAGTAAATTAGATTCTGACTCTGTAGATCGATCAAATATGGGTTTAATGCCACTTAACGTGCTTCCTCTTTGTGCTATTAATATTTTGCTTGATTTGCTTACAGTATGTGATAATTGAGCTTCTCTTCTTTTTATGATTTAGGTATACCAATTTGTTACCCGGAGATTAGAGCAATTTCTGGTATGGATAACATTCACATAGTACCATTCTACCTAGTTTGTTTACTACGTCCTTTTGTTTTGTTGAACATGATGTATGTATGATGTTAGGAGGCGTAAATTTTTAACCATGTTCTTTTCTTTGAAGTTTATCTTTTTATGTTTTGTTTCTTCATAGAAATCCAGATTGGTAGTCCGGTAACTAGAATATACCTCTGTAACCAAGATTTTTACCATTCTTCTATATGGAAGTAGATGGTTGTCCGTCCAATATACTACCATTTTGTTACAGATTGACAAGGGAATAAATCCAGAGATTATGCGTTCTGTCCTCGCGGAGCGTGCAAACTTGCCTTGTCTAGCAGCAAGAACAGCCTCTAAAGTAAGCCTGTATTGCTACCGTACTTATTTCCTCTTGCAACTTGTAAATTTCTGTTTCAGATAAACTTTTCTTTCCACTATGCTTCAGCTTCGGTTTAATTTCTTTTACATTCTCTTGTTTAAGTATTCTTGATATGTATAATATGAGACTATTCATTTCTTAATTAATTTCTATTCCAAGTTTGAATTCCTGCGGACAGGAATTTGAAATGTAGCTCCAAAGAACTGACATTAGAAGCCAAATTGAATCAAATATGAAAATATCATGCAATTTTATATATCAAGGATATTATAGTAATTAAATAAAAGAAAAGATTGTTATACAATTTGATTGGGAGTTTAACCGAATAGGCTGTAAGTGTATACTTGTTTCCTTTCAAGTGGGAGACAAAAGGCTTAACCTGTGATAGTAACAAAAGTACTAAATACTGTACTCGTTGACGTCTCGGTTTTAGTTGATGAGAAGTAATACTGATATTTATAAGTTCTGTTGCACCAGCTTTATTGTTATTTTCTAATTTATTTGAAAAAATATATGAAAACATATATACATAATAATAATAAGGGCATGTACGCATCCGAGACTTTGTCCAATTTTTCATTTTAGTCCTAATTGTTACAATTTAATTCTTCAACTTTTGAACGTTATTGTAAAAGGTTAACATTATTTAGAATTGGATGGAAAAAATGGAATTGGCTTGAGGTTTGTTTTGGAAAGGAAAAAATATATATATGAATCACAAAAACAATTAAAAAATAATAATTGAAATAATAAAACTCTAATAATCCTAAATCATCAACTTTCATCCTCTTTCATCTTCTTCAATCGGCTCTTCCCCTTCCCCCTTATGTTGCCCTCTGCTCGTATGGCTACTGAAGCACGATGGAACATGTGAAAGATTTTGTCATCAAATCATTCAATTTGAACCTATGAAGCTTCTTCTGCACCTTTTTCAATTGGGTAAAATAATTGAATATTCAAATTAAGACTGAGAGGGTTTTTTCTTCTGTACCTACTTCAATTGGGTAAAATAATATTTTCAGTGAAGTAGTAGATTCATTGGAGAAGAAGATTTTTTGAGGACGAAAAATCAAATGTCTTGAGAAACTGTATTGTCTCAAATAAATTATACCAAATTGTATCGGTTAAAAAAGTATGAATTAGATTAAAAGGTATAAGTATATAATACATCCGATGTAATTAATTGTAGTTAATTATTTATTTCATTTTTATCCTAGAAAATCTATATATATAGAGTTCTAATATTTAGTAAAAGACACATTTAACCATTCTTCACATGGTACCAGAATTCGGTTAAGAAACTCTAAATTCTTTCACAAATCCTACTGAGTCATCATTGCCGAAGTAAAAAAATCCTAAAGGGTGCCCAGCCTTTATTTTCGGCCACGACAACCCAAGCTATCGACTACCACGAACTCAGCACATCCATTAGGATCGACCTTCATTGCCGGATCCAGCCTCTCGCGGTGTCCCAACTACGCTGCTAGTCTTTAGTGAGTAAATTGATTTATCTTTCACATAGCATACCAGATATCAGTTTTGCCTTCAATATAGTAAGTTTATTCATGAATAACTTAACTGAAGAACTTATAAAGATAATATTTCGGATTCTCAAGTATCAAAAAATGAAAATTGGAAAAGAACTATTTAAAAAGAATACAGAAGTCAAGAAATTGAAATATATATTGATGCAGACTAATTTGATCCTATAACTGATAGAAGATCCACCTTTGCATACTGTGCATGTATTTGGAGAAAGCTAGTTACTTGAAAAAGTAAAAAGCAGTCAATGATATCAAAAAGTAGTACTGAGGCTGAGTTTAAAGTTTTAGCATATGATATCTGTGAAGAAATATAGCTATAGAGGGTATTGGGTGAACTGAGAATTCCTTCTTCAGAGCCTATGAAA